AAAATTTAGAGGGGGAGAAAAAAACTTAAAAAATTCGTCTTATTCTATCCAGCTTTACAGTTAAGAAAAGCACGTTACTCAAGAAAGTTACGCAAGAGAAATACAAATTTATAGTTTACTGGAAAGTATAAATACTCACCGAAAGAGGTAAAAGCCAGTTGCTACCAGGAATAAGTAATAATTCGCCGTTAACGACAATTTTCAAATGTGGTATCACATCACGATATTTGCATTTCACAGTTGTATTGCCCGGTCTTGCGTTTAGATTGCTCATTACACTTCGGTATAACTTCTCCGGAAGAATTAGATGTTTTTTTGCCGGCGTCACTACTGCCGTGCATGGCCCTTCCGTGATGTCACCTTCTGGAGTAACAACTGTTATGCTGAAAAGATGAATAAGATTATTTGTCAGGCAACCGGCAGCCAAGCGACTGACCGAAAAATAAAGCGTTGCGTGAAATGCCGGACACCTTTCGTTGCGAGAATGTTAGTTGCTGGTTTGTACGCAGTCTGCTTTAGTATGATGAAAGTTGCTTAGTGCAGAGCGCCATAAACAATGCAGAAACAGGCCACAAATTGAGAAGTATATTTGAGAGCAGAACTGCAGTCAAAAAGCAAAATCTCTCTACTGCCGCAAGAGCAAGATCAACCGATGTCGAGAAAGCGGTCGAACGCGGAAGAACGGTGACTCCGCTCCCGCCACTGCTTTGATCAATGATTGTATTGTCATTATTGGCAGCCCAGTTAGTTGTGGACGGGATTGTGTTTTAGGTCAAGAAAGAACGGTTGCTGATCGCTGGCTTGAGTTAATTTTGTTGCTCGAGCGACTGAGGTTTAGTCAATACTGCGCTTCTGCCCTGTGGATCAGTGTTGCTTCTAGAGTTTTTATGCGTTTTGTGCTGTGTAACAGCAGTCCAAAACGTATATTGTCATGGAGTTGTGTGTGTGTGTGTGCCCCATATTTTGCCTCTCACTTTCAACTCGGGAACCACAAAACCTAGGCGGCTGAAATTTTGGTATAGTGTTCCCCGCCAACGGACGACGCGGCAAATTTAAATTCAGCCTTCCCGTGGGTAGCATGGGTAGAGGAGGGCTGAATTTAAATTTTTTCGGGTAAAATCAGTATCTCGGGAACC